CAGAGTTAATTATATACTGCAAGACTGTTGGTGAGACATCAGAGGCGTAATGAGTAGTGTCGTCGGCGTATGGCTTCAAGGACGTATTAGTAATAGAATGATTAAGATCATTAACATACAAATTAAATAAGAGTGGACCCTACAGGGACCCCTGTGGTACACCCGTTTTAACGGTTCTCCACGAAGAATATACACCATCGAGTTTGACTCTCTGTCTCCGTCCAATAAGGCAAATGGATTACGAGTACCCGACAAAGCAATTTAGCCAGAATGGATGGTAAAACGGGGTGGCTCTCGGATCGATGCAGCGGAATTTGGAAACTTTTGCCGCTGGAACGGGTAGGTAGTAGCTTATAAGCGCTCTCGCGGGTGGAAATTTGAGGGAGATCGGTTGACTTTTGTGGAATTTATCGGCCTTCGAGTAGCGACGGTTGGTGCTCGGGACCGGCTGAATTTTCCAGCCATGAGTTTTTTTATACATAGTTGACCGGTAACACCACACGCGTTACAAAGAAAGTCGCCAAAACAGCCTTAAATGGACTGTAAACGACAAAGCAGCTACGGAAAAAGGAAAGGAGACTTCATACCAGATATTCCACGCTTTCATTTTCCTTTTTAATTTTTTCTTTTGTTTTTAAATATTTTTTCCTATTTTACAGTTGACTGGTGAGACCGCACGCTTTACAAAGCAAGTCGCCAAACCAGCGTTAAAACGACCGTTGGCAACAAAGCGGCTACGGAAAAACGTAAGGAGACCTCGCCTGTTTTATTCCTCGCTTTTATTATCCTTTCGAATTTTTTCTTCATATTTTTTTTAGAATTTTTCCTTTTTTTAACGGTCCACAAGTACGCTTGTACCCTGCGAGCAGAGCCTTTTCAACCCGTTCTGGAATCGAAAAGGGAAAAAGGCTCTGCCGACATCCTGTTGTTGCTCGTTTGAACATGCGCGTTCATCGCCCTTGAACTATTGTGGGCGCAGATCTGGTCATCTGTGTACATGAAAAACAAAGCCGTACGCACCAAAACCGGTGTGACTGGAGGCAAAACCGGCATGAGTAGCCCGGAATTTTGGGTTTTCGGCATTTCAAAGCAACAACAGGATGTCGGCAGAGCCTTTTCCCTGGGAGGGTTAAAAAGAGGAAAAGAAGAAAAGGCTCTGCTCGCAGGGTAGTACGCTTGAAATTGAATCTTAATATGTTAATTATTGCCGTTAATAAACTTTACACCCCAGTCACACACAGTATGCTTGGGCCGCCTGTGAACAAAGCCGAATTTATACCTCGGGCGTTTCCGGAAAGCTCAAGTAAAAATTCAGTTTCGATTCGGAACTGGAGCGCTAGAGTTATGAAACAGTTGCATCAATATATAATATTGCAACTCTGCCATCTTTTTTGATACTTATCATACAAACACAAACCGTTCAATGGTGTAAGGAAATCACAAACTGATACAGATAACATCAATCATTCGCTTAGCATACCAAAGCAGTGAAACAATTGCACATTTAAGATTAAGACAATTTTCAATTCTTCCTGTGCCTCGGAGATCGCCGAAGGCGAAAGCGTTAGACATACAACAAATGGCTCACCTGATACCAAAGAAAGAATCAAAGCAAGGTAAACTGTTACAAATTGTTCGTGATCAAGTTTCCACATGTCGTCTCCGTCTCTACCAACAGGTCTAGAAAGGAACTCTATCTTCGAAGGAATCCCGTCGAGACTTTGTTTGCTTCACTTACTACTTTTGTTCTTTTGGACGAAACTTCTTTGTTTTAACTAAATTAAGCTTATTGGCTGTAGTTGAACTACAGGGTTGAATCTCGATCAAGGTATCCCTAATCACGCTATAGTTAATTCTCTAGCGCAACCCCAAAGATAAACTTTCAGAGATCACGGCCGACGAGGATGTAATAGCTAGTTCTGTTTGAGCGAGAAAGTCTGGTAACTAATTATGTGCACCAAGTCGAGGCTGAGGGGAATACGCCCTTATTTTGAAAGCAGATCGGAGTGACCGTCAGATGGAAGGTGAAGTTTTGTACCATCTGGAAATTAAGAGGAACCATTGAGAGAACACGCGCGGCGACTAACAAACGAAATACAAAGAAAATAACTAAGAGAAACCTAAGCTACACAATAACCCCGCTATCATAACGAACTACCAAAATGTACATAATGAGTTTGCTCCGAAGTCACAATAAAAGAACATTTAAATTACAGAGAAAATTTCTACGCGACCACGAAATATGAGTGAACAAGTAAACAATGGCCAAGAAGATCTAAGGCAAGCTGTACAAAAATATAAACAGAATTTTAAAAACTTACATATCGATTCCGCACGCACAACTAAAAGTTTGATCGACGAAGACAAAGAAAACGAACTTTAACTATAAGAAAGCTAATTGAAATATTGAAACCTTAAAGATCAAAGGGCAAAATAGTAGCCCAACTGTAACGCAATGTCACGCAATTACAAAACAAAGTAGTGGAGTAAAAGCATTCAAAGAATAGGAAGGTGCGTCTGTTTCTTGTCAAACGGACATTGACCAAAAACAAATGGACGATAAAAAATGCGTCGGATGACAAAATTCGAAACGAACTCAATAACAAGCTAGCATCAAAACGAAAACTTTTCATGGATGATATACTGAAAAATGACGAATCACGTGAAATTCTACACGCGATTTCCGACTTTGGCCTGTCTAACGGCTGAACTGGAAATTGCAGTATCCATTCTCTTTATCTGCATCGTCATCACTTAAATCGTGGTACTTCAAGTCCTTCTCATGACTGTCTACAAATAAGCGAAAACGTACCCTCGAGACTTACGTACGAACAGTTTTCGTCGTAGCCATTAATTAATTAATTAATTAATTAATTAGTTAATTTCCCACACACGAGATTACTGTGTGATGGATGTCCTCCCCTGGGGTGGGATTGGTGGGATATAGGGCGCACTTAATTTGGAGCCTCGCTCTGTTGTGCGACCCTCACCACACTCTGGTGAAAGTGATTAAATAAATAGATAAATAAGCCATCTTTTCCAACCAGATAATGATAAATATCAGCATAGTTAATCGATTAACTATGATATCAGGAAACCTGATGTCTGGTATACCAGTGAAGCCATGAGTCCAATATCTCTTACCTTTAGAAACTTTTGAAGCTGAGATATTTCTATATTGGCGAAAGAGCCAGCGTTGTCGCCGACGAGGCCTAATCCCCTCAGCCTCGTCTTGGTGCTAAAACTAGTCGAGCAGGAACCATGTCTGAAATTTATTGTGCGATATCACAGACATCACAGTATCCTGACCGATCGCTGCTCAAAGTCTCGACTTTTGCACTGGTTTTAAAATAAACAAAGTTAACAGAGGACGAAGTCTGATCTTATAACAGTTAGGTGCTCCACTTATAACCTTAGGGGCACCACAATACTGGACCTCCCAAAAGTAAAATCAACAACTTTCGGGTTAAGATCATGGAGATATGCTGCATCGAAACTATGGAACGCTTTACCGGACGGACTACTAGCTCAGTTGCTCGCTATGTTTGTTTGGACCGTGCGACGGAGATTTGCTTGAGGTGAAAAGTTTCAGGGTCGGCACACAATGTAAGAGAAATCGATCAGATTGTCAGCGAAAATCTTCCGGAAATTATACTGAACACTTTCGCAGGTTCACTAGAGAACGTGTTTTGAAGTTTGCGAGGTTTGTATACAACACGATGGTTGCAGTCATTGATATGTCGCTTTGAACGTTAAACGAGATTTAAGCTTAAATCTTTCTAGATTTTTTGCATAATTTGCTGTGACTGAAACTTTGCCAATCCCGTGAAGTTATTTCGTCGCACGGGCCACGCAGGTATGTCGAGCAACTGGTACTTGCGCAACTTTCTGTGCGTGCCAAAATCTAATCTCATCTTCGCTTGAAAAAAAAGAAAAGCTAAGCGTGGAAACTTTTGCTTATTAGATGTGGGTAGATGACCCTGTACTACTAAGCTGACATTTGCAATAAAGCAAACCCGCCCTTTCCATCCAATATTTCTTGGTCTTTGGTTTTGTTTTTCCCATTGAAAACAGCATCGGATCGATTCCCAATGATCAAAGGTATTTAACTTGGTCTTCAACAATCGACAGAAGAGGTGAAATGACAATGACCAAGGGACTAGAAGAGAATCCGTGGCCTTCCTAGCTCAAGAATTTCAACACTCTAGACAGCAGTTGAAAGATTAAACTCTTTCCAAACCCCTTCGGTAACTGCCCGAAAACATCTCTCCTTCCCACGATGTTCTCGTTAATAAGTTTTTGTTCAGATTTTAATTAGCTAACCGGAAACACAGCTAAGCTTTCTCTTAGCACTTGCTGGAGGTCGTCCACGAACTTAACGTTCTCTGCAACCTTGGCCGTATTGTGAACGACTTTACTACTAAGATTAGATTTTGGCGCGCACAGAAAGCAGAAAGCTACGTAGGCGAAAGCGCCAGTTGCTCGACATACCTGCGTGGCCCGTGCGACGAAATAACTTCACGGGATTGGCAAAGTTTCAGTCACAGCAAATTATGCAAAAAATCTAGAAAGATTTAAGCTTAAATCTCGTTTAACGTTTAAAGCGACATATCAATGACTGCAACCATCGTGTTGTATACAAACCTCGCAAACTTTAAAACACGTTCTCTAGTGATACCTGCGAAAGTATTCAGTATAATTTCCGGTAAGATTTTCGCGGACAATCTGATCGATTTCTCTTACATTGTGTGCTGAGACTGAAACTTTTCACCTCAAGCAAATCTCCGTCGNGTTTCCTTTACGCCAAAAGTACTCATGTACAGTTAAGTTTTTTCTCTTTGATTAAAATCTCGTAAAACGACAACTCATCATTACTGGACTTTTTGTCTGCCCAGAAAGGAGTATAAATATTTTTTTTCATGGTTCGTAAAGCTGTTTAAAAATCATTCTTAAATCTATATTATCATTCTCTTAACGCTCTGTCTGTCAAAAGAATAAAGCTTAAATATGATACTTTATGATACTTTGATATCTCTGTCTCTTTTGGGTTACACAACATATGAAATTTGGATGGGACGCAATATAGGCTTTTAACAAATTAAGCTTGTTCAATGGTTCAAGGCTCTTGGCTTAACCTTTTTGTCTTGGAGTCAGAGATGAATATTACAAATCATCGAGTTGTAATTTTTTCTGCGTATACCAGAATTATCATGGCGGTTACGGAACTTAAGGTCACTTTGTATGCCGTTTAAATGTAAACACTGATCAGGATTTCTTGGTAAACAAACTGAAGAGAGGTTTTCCCTCGTCAAAACTAGCGTGCGATGTTTATCGCAGAGCTGATCCTGATGTGAAGCTAATTTTTGTACGCGCTCATTATCAATTTATGAAACTTATCAATATGATCCAACTGACTGGCTCACTAACTGTACTTAATTCAAACTAAACATCGACAACTGTCAAAAGCTAAAGATTCAAAAATCTGCAAAGTTTGAATAACAATTGAAAGAATCCAGGTATGCAAGGGTTGTCTTGTAACAGAACGAGTAGAGATCCTGAAAAAGGAATAGTATATAGCACTTTAAGTCGAGGCAAGGAAATAATTCCCTTATGAACACAGTCCGAGTGTCCCTGGTTCTTTCTAAGTAACTTACCAGAGTGTTCACAGCGCCAGGCCTTTTGGCTCGAATTAGTTTAATGGTCTTAAACACATCAACTGTTTGCTCAATCTTAACTCGTTCGATCACTGACATTATGGTAGCCAGACAGCCGCTACGACCCACACCATCACTGAAAAAACAATGAGTGACGCCAATAGCTCAAATAACGATAAGAGCTCCTATAGGTTCAGGTTTTAAGCAAGGTAATATGTTGTGGTTCACCTGACAGGGAATGGTACCTGTCTCAAAGGCCTAGTCGCTTCATATTATGAAAACTGGGATAGTCACTGGCAGGTATGGGCCATTAACATAGAGACAATCTAAGCTAAAGTGAAACTTTGATGCATCTTGATTAATTCTTGCAAAAAATCCCATTTCGGAAACAAAGTTTACGGTCAAAACGTAGGGACTTAAGAGTCAAAGAGCTAAGAGTCTGGCAACGATTTCGTGCCCAACAGAATTGAGACGCAGTGTAATTCATGACAGTCAACCTGGAAAACTTTAAAAAATCACAAGAAGCCCAAGATAGCGCAACGCAAATACATGAAAATCGAGGAGAAGAGAAATACAACGATCGAGTTAAAAATCGTTTTTTTTTCTTTTTTTTGTTTTTCATTTTTTCTTTAAATGGCTGAGAGAATTCGCCATGTAAAGCAAACGCAATGAACTCTGCAGTATTGAGCAAAAAGCATTTTTCACTAAGAAATGTGAGAGGAAAAATTGAATTAATTTCTTTTCACTACAGAAAAATCTTTAATTTTACCTGCATTGAAAAACAATGACTCCATCTCCAGATTGTTGCTGAGACTGCTCTAATACAGTCAACATNNNNCAATTGTTGGGACATTCGAAGAACCTATAACTTTATCATTATCCCCAAAGTAACGTGTTATTCATTTACTGCACAATAATTAAATAGAATTACACCGTACCATCGCATTTGTAACGCTTAACTTGCTCGTCGTTATGTTCTTAGCAGTCTTTTTTGACAGAAGCTGTAAAGTGATGTCTCCATACTAGGCAGACCCTTCACTTGGCCAATATTGTGGATAACTCTGCCAAGAGATGCAAAATGCTAGAATCAGTATATGCCTTCCCATGATCACTGAAATATTTATTTCAAATAATGTACGAGAAAATGAACTTAAAGTAAAAAAATGCATTACTACCGTGAGCCATGCCTACCTCGAGCTCTGAGGGATAATATATAGGTAAAGACTTCCATACTGATGATTCCAGAGCTTCCTTTAGAAATATCAGGAGGTTGAAACTTACGTTTGGTATTTGGTATTTAAAATGAGTAAAATGTACCTCTTTTTCTTCTTTCAAACTGTTTAACATCACAACTGTGCCGATATCATACTGTGATATCATCCTCCAGAAGTCGTCAACAGTATTGTTTAACGGGGCTTGAGTCAAAATATATGCATTACGTCGACTATAGTCCTAAAGAAGGTTATAAAATATGTCACCTGTGAGGAAATTATTGTTAAGAACGCAGAGCAATAATCACGAAAAAGAGAAAAGTTTATAAAAAATTAATGTTAGTTCATTGCATTGATTACTTTAAAGCTTTAACAAACAGCAGCAACTGTCTGATATATTTGACTAGGAACTGCAGAATATATACCGTCTAACAACTGATTCGTCTTCCTTAGTATCGAGCCTAAAAGTGAGACGTTGTTTACTTGTAACTCAGACTAGGGATAGATGGTATTAAATTACTTATCTGCTTGAAGGCGCTGAGTCGCGATTTAATATTAATGAGCCTTTTTAGTGAAATGCAAAATTACTTCAGCGTCAAGATAATCATATATAGTTGTTTTGGAGGACAAAATAAGGCTAAAATGGAATGAGAACGTTTAAAGATAGTCACAACTGACTCGAATTGGAAACATAGAACTTGTAATATTTAGGCCACGTTACCATAACTTATTACTATCTATTTTAATTAGTATATTGTCACGTGCGAGGTGGCCTCAACTATAAGCCTGGTGGTTTCTAGAGGTCACCTCGTCATACATTGAACTATGGATAAATTGTTAATATATTAGGAAACAGGAAATAAATAAATGAATAAAAACTAAAAAAAAAGGAGACTAAATACAAATCAGCCTAAAAGGAGAATCGAGAATCAGATCTGGGGAGGTATAGGATCCAGGCTCCTACTCCTACTGTACTCACGTCGACAAAAGAGGCGTTGATGTAATCCTCATTCGGCTCTGAGCTCCTCAGCATGACCCGTGCAGTGTCCACTTGAATAATAATAATAATAATAATAATAATAATAAATAAAGATGTAGATTCGAAAACAAAAACAATGGTAAAAACAATGATGATGATGGTTGTCATCATCCAACTAACTACATGTTCAAGTCACCACTATAATCGTGCTAAATTAAAAAAATCAAACGAGGTGTAAAAAGCAATATAAAATGTTGGCGAAATCTCCGTATAACTTTGTCCTGACTTAAGGAAATTATGAAATCTTTGCAAAGAGTCAGAAAACGAGGTGGACAAAGGATGAATTCAACCCACAAGAGAGCAATCCGTGTCTCCAGTTCCTGTTGGTGGGGTTAAAGTGGTGTTAATTACCCAATTAATGTTTTTCTGGTGTTATGCCAAACAGCAAAGAATCACAGTTTAATAAGAGTTAGGGCAGTACTTACTTGGTACTATATTGGAAAACCTGTTCTTGTTGAGGTTTGAGGGTTTAAACCCTTCCGTAAATTCTCCTCCTGAGCTCTGGCAGCCGCTGACGATCTCCAAACGCTGGAAAGATATATTATTTTCACGTCATTTTTCCCGTTTTGCAATAGAACTCGTTTGATATGAAACCACTGATTTTTACCATTGTGACGTAAACTACTACCTTGAACTCTTCTGCATAACCAGTGTGTTTAGCAGCTGAAAGGACCCTGGGAAGTTTGTTCATTCTAATCCGTAAGTCTTGGGAAGCGACCTCTGTAGTTCCACAGGTCAAAGCTTCCATCACAGCTTGATGAATGAACACGTACTGGAGCTATATAAAGACAAATAACGTTAAAGTTAATTTCACAAAAACAAAAAGAGCAAACACTGTTTCTTTATTGTCTTTGTCATCAATATTGCATTTGTGCACATTTTCTTTAGCATTCTTTTACTAAAAAATACAAATATAATTAAAGAAACGTTCAGTTAAGAAATGAAACTTTCATAACGTTGAGCCTGCTAATTTTAAACGTGAAAAATGTAGAGAAATTGAATTGAATTATATTTAATCACATCTGCACCAAATCCACACATCTCCATGGAGCGGGAGCACTCTATAAGGTTTACATAAGCAACATCAACTATGTCAGAGAAGAATCCGAAAAAAGTAACTCAAGTATCAAAAACTGTGTTACCCAAAGAGCTTCGAGCCTCGTGTCTCCTATTTCTTGTTCGAATATCCTTTCAAGAAAGGTTGTACAATAGAGTTTCCGATGGTGTCTGGAATACCACAGACAAAAGAGCTTACTATTTTAGGGGTAACATTTCAGGAAGACAGTAGGTTCATAACACATATTCGGGAAAAACTAATCAAAGCAAACAAGTGCCTGTTCATTTTAAGATCTTTAAGGAAAGAAGGGTACAATCAGGCCGAAATAGACCATCTGTTTCTAAATCTGGTTCTACCAAATATATTATACGGGCTGTCCGTATTTGGCGCTGTAAATTCCGAATTAACAACAATCCAATGTTTCTTAGATCGATGTTATAAGCGCAAGTATACATCCGACCACATTAATGTTTATGAATTGTTAGTTCAACAGGACACACGTATCTTCAAGAATGTTTTTAATAATACAATACACCCTTTAAGAGCTATAATGCCAAAAAAGAAATCAACCAAGTACAATCTGAGGAAAGAGACAAGTCACCATCCTAAAATAAACACTGATAGGTTCAAAAACACGTTTGTCAATCGCTTAATTTTTAAACATAATCTAGTCTTATAATTTTTATCTTGATTTTCTCTGTAATTTATATATATACCTTCTTTTAATGTTGTAACATAGGATATGTGATTATTTATCTTATGACTTAATAAAGATTCAATTCAATTCAATTGACAATCCAAGGAAGAGAACTCTAAAATGCACGAGATACCAAAGAAATAATCCGATATCAGATTCCTAAATGCGCGCAAGATGCGACCTTGACAATCCAAGGAAGAGAACTCTAACAATGCACGTGATACCTACGTAACAATCGAATGAAAGAGAATTCTAAGAGCGCGTGAGGTAGTATTTACAATCCAAAGAGAAAGAATCCTACAACAGCGCGAGACGTTAACACAATCGGACGAATAAGCTAATTTTTGTTAGAAAACTCGGTTTAGGTCGTGGTCCTGACAGTACCCCGAATGATCTTTTCGATATTTGTGTTTTTAACTCGGCAAAAAAATTGAAGGCTTCGCGAAATAGTTGAGCTCCAAAAATTATTTTGTTTTATTACCTTCCTCAAAGGGAGGATTTACGGGTGATAGTAAAGGTTTTATTGGTTGGCTATCGAGCCCAAGTTCAAACCTCCCAGCTTTTATGTTAGCACAAGAACTTCAGTTTAAAGATTGTCGCCAAAGAATTTCCTTTATGATGAAATCTTCCCACTTTTTGGAAAGAACTACACACTCTCTTCAAAATTAAATAAATGGGGACAGAGAATTCGTTGTACTGGAGGGAAAAAGCAATAAAGGGAGCTCTCATTAATTTCAGTTTAGCAAAACTTTTATTTACATGAAAATGGCCCCTTAAAGGAGCTAGGTTACCTGCTTAAAGTTTGCGTACTCACTAAATTTTCATGAAAGTGACATTTTTTTTAAAATCACACTTGAGTCAATCACACGTTGTAAATCGTACTTGGTAAATCATACATGGTAAATCACACTTGGTGCTCATGTAAACAAAATATGTCGGAAAATTTATCTTTGCTCACTGCATACTGATAATGGATTTTAAGCTACAACTGACTAGGAAAAAAAAGAACATTTCCTTTTCAGCGATGACGACTCCAACAAGAATAAGGAGACAACTCAAAAACACTGGCTATAATATTCGAATCTTAGTTTTAGGCAGCAAAAATTAACTGCACACAGCTGTCTCTAAAGCTATGACAATAACATGTTACCTATCGGCCAAATCAAGCTACTGAAGCCTGTATAGACACAGAAAGCTGACCTCTAATGTGCTACGGAGACCAATATCTCCCCTTGCCTTCCCTCCTTGTTGCTGACAGGAAGTGAATAACCTCTCCTATAAATTTACACATGATATCAACGATTTCCTTGTTATTCAAGTGTCCTACCGTCTTTTGACATTTACCTCACTTATGCTCTGAAACTATTTTCTTATCGTCTATCTCTAAAGTTTCATTAATAAGTCATGATTTTTTTTTT